CTGGGCTGCCGAGCGCCGGCAGCTCGCGCACGTACTGTGCGGGCAGGTAGAAGGGGCGGCCGCCGGGCTCGCGCCGCACGTGCCACCAGTGGGGCGTGCTGCGCCGCAGCAGGCGGTAGCGCTCGTTGGGCCGGATGGCGATGTGGCGCCCGTCCCTGCCGGTGTACTCGAAGGGGTGTTCCACCAGGACGTCCACCTGGCCTTCGACGTCCGCTGCCATCGCGGCCACCACGTTCCCCTGCAAGCCAAGAGAGGAGGCGAGGTGAGAGCGAGCTCCGCACGCACGAGGGGACAAAGGCCTGGCTCGGGGCTGCCCTGTGCGCCCTGCCTCTGACAAGGGCGCTTGAATGAAATCACCCCTGGGATCCCGATCTTTTGCTCAGCGCCGGAATTAGGACAACCCCTTCATTCCGTGGCGTTGATTTTAAGATTTGACGTTTGCTTTGGTTCCGTGGTGGGGAAGTGTGGGGCAGTGACACCGGCTCTGTTTGCCAGGAAGTCTTGGCCCAAGGACATAGCACGGTCCCTTTGCCTAGTATTTGACTGAGCCTCAGTTTCCCTGCTGGAGAAGTGGGAAAAGTAGCCGGTTCCCCCGCCTGCCTCAGTGCCAGGGCCTTAACGCGGGGTTTGGCTGCCAAGGACGGGGAACCGGTTCTCTCGGTTTCTCTTCCCTTCCCCAGTGGCTTGGCCGCGATGTGAACCCGGGGTTGGCCCGGCCCTCCGTCCCTGGGATCTGGACGGTGACAGTGACCACCCATTCCGTGTCGCCAGGCCCCCAGAGCTCTCTGGAGCGACTACCTCTGGCCAGTGTGGCTCAGCCCAGTTGCACCAGTTCGCACCTTCACCTGGGCAAGACTGAAGCCTCCACCGGAAGTTGCTCTGAATTCTACACGGACCACACCAGCTCCTGTCCCGCAAGGTGGCCCACCGCCAGAGCCGGGAGCTGGCCTCTTGCTGAGGCCAAGGACCCGGGGAACAAGCCGAGCGGTGGGGAGTCACGGCGCTCTTTTACTTTTTCAAGCGTTACTTGTAAATTGAGGCATTGAGTTCCCTGGGCTCCAGGGGTAGCTTAGACAGAAGAGCCCCGCCCCGCGTCTCCTCCCCGACCCCCTCCTTGCACTCACTTGGGCCGGGCGGGCCTCAGGGAGCCCATGGGCGGGGCGCGCGGAGCCGACGAGAGCTCAGGTTAGACCCCGGCCTTCGCGGGGCGGGCCGTGGAGGGCCGCCGGAGAGCGCGCGCGGGAGCTGGTGAGGGTAAAAGCGGAAAGCGACCCTCAGCAGGGCTGTACCCAGGCACAGCCCGTGTGCAGGGGCCCTTGGTGAGCATGGCAGACCAGGCGTGGGGACGGGAAGGGGCGCTGGCGGGTCGTGCGCGCAGCCCCGGGCCCCCGGCGCCGGCGGGATCTGCTTTCCGGGAGCCCCTGCGACCCGCGGGCGCGTAGCTCTGGGAATGCCCGGCTGGGGCTGCTAGTCCCGTCCGGTCGTTCCCGTTCCGAGCGAGGCCATTTGCTCCTGAATCAGCAGCCACCAGCTTTGCCAGCCGGACTGCCTGCCCTGCGCGTTCCCGGCCCACCTCCGCCCGCCCTAGGCCCTGTCTGGGCGCAGCCAGCTGAGGGAGATTCCTACAGCAGCGTCATCCGCGGCGCAGGGTCCCGGGCTAGGCAGGAAGGTGACTGCCGCCTGTAATCCTGGGGAGCCAGGAGGACCCCTGGAGCGCAAGAACGCAACAGCCGCCAAGAGGTGCCCGGCCCCTGCTACCGAGACGACACAGAGGAGGCACTGAGGCGCCAATGCCCGAGCTGGCGCAGAGAGCCCGGCTCCCTCCTCGGACAGCGGGCGGCTCGTCGCCTCCCAGGGGACCCGGCGCGCGGGGCCCTTCTCGCGTCCCAGCGCGGTGTGAAATGGGCGGCGCGCGGGGCTCTGGGCGAGGACCTGCTACTGAGGACCGTCCTCCCTACCCCTCCCAGCCCTGCGGGCCCTGGCACCTCAGGGCGTCGGCCCGCTGGCCTCGCTTCCACTCGTCCCGGGGGCGCGCGCGGCTCCTAGTCCCACGCTCTCCTGCACCGCCGGGCCTCCGTGCCGACCTGCTTCCTGTTCAACAATATACGAGGGAGGCACCGGCGGAGCGCCCGGCGAACTTCCTCCCTGGCTGGGGCTGGGCTGCTGTTGCAAAAGACAATCCCCGGTATCCTGGCTTCCTGTCCCCTCTGGGCCGGCTCGAGCTCCAGGAGCAGAGACGCCACCCCTTCCCCCATGCACCTCCTGGGATGGATCCTGGGCCACTGCTGGCTGTTCCTAGGGTTGAGGACGCCCGTGGCGTCCCACCAGCTTCAGCCCGATTTCCCTCTTGTCGAGATCCTCCCTTGTAGTGTAGAGAGGGGAGTCCTTCCAACCTGCCCAGCAGCCTCCTGGAGGCCAGGATCTGAGTGGAGTCCGGGGCCCTCCCCTTGGGGTCTTTCTGGTAATAGCCTCTGGGGAAAGTAGCCTTGCCCTCTGGCTTGACTCAGCTGTCACTCCAGACATGGGCAAAGCAGCCCCTCTGGACCTGTTCTCAGGGCCCACAAGGAACACTGGTGCATTTGTGTAGGTGTTTGTGCTGAGTTTGTCTAAGTGCTGATGCTGGAGAGGAGGGAAGCCCCCATCCCAAGCGTCGGACTCCAGACAGCCTGAACAGCACGAAGTTTGGCTGGAACTGCACCTACAGTCCAGGGGGCGCTCTACTACTGAGCCATGGCACAACCCTTTTTCCAGACAGGGTCTCCCTCAATTGTCCAGGCTGGGCTGGAATTCTTGATCCTTCCTGCCTCAGCCACCTGAGTAGGTGTGTGCCATGGTGCCTCACATTCTCTTGTTTTGAGACAGGGCCTCGCTACTTAGTTAAGGCTGAACTTGAAGCCACTTTGTAGCCCAGGATTGGATCAGACTCACAATGACCCTCTTGCCTCAGGCTCCCAAGTGCTAGGATGACAGGTGTGCACCACCATGCGCAGCTCATACTCTTTGTTGGACTCCCTTTTCTCCACATCTCTGACTGTGGCGTTGCCCACCAGTGAGAACACACTGGGCTGGGTGTCTCAGTGTGCCCAGGCCTGGTGGCATCTTAGGATCTGCCAGAACAGACATGCAGTAGAGCTAAGCATGGTGCCCTGCACGCTGAGAGGACAGTGGCTGGATGAACCCTCCTCACCTGCCCCCATCACCCACTGGGCCAGGCACATGGCAGAGGCTGGTGTGTTGTGGTCCTCGTCTGGGGTCTGGCAGTCTGAAGCACAGCACTGCCACACACTGACCTTTAGATGTCTGGAACCACCTTTCTTTTCTACAAGCTGCAACAGTAATGCCTTCCTTATAGGTTTGCGCAGAGGACTGAATGAGACGTCATAAAGGCAGTGTCAGTAAGCTCCTTACTATTATTTTGCAGTAGTACTAGGGATTGAACCCAGGGCCTTTGCACTGAACTATATTCCCAGCCTCCCCTTACATTTTTTGAGAGATGGTCTCACTAAGTAGCCCAGGCTGGACTTTTTTTTTTTCCAGGCTGGACTTGAATTGTGATCCTCCTGCCTCAGCTTCTGGATGCAGAATTCCAGGTGTGTACAAAGTGTCATTACTGTTTGTATTTTACGGTCTGCAGGTTAGGTTTGCTTCTCCAAACCTCTCCTCCTTTAGGCAGAGGAGGAAAACCATGCCCTTAATTAAGGGTACTTTGCCAAGGGCTGCGGGCAGTGCCAGCTCTCAGCCCTACCAACTGGGCCTGGCTCCTCCTGCCCACTGCCCCTGGAAGGGAACTTGCTGGGGGAGCTGGGCTCACGGATGGACAGGGGGTGCCCTAGTTTCCAACAGGAAGCTGCAGACCTGAATGTGCTTTTTCTGCATTTCCCTGCAACCTGGTTTCCCTGCGATTTTGCATTTCCTTCCTTTGTTCTTGCAGGGACAGTGAGGGGCTCCCCCTGCACGAGCCCCTCAGCTTCTCCGGAATCTTCTGAGGAAGACAGCAGCCAAAGGCCCTAAATCCACAAGCTCGGGGCCTGGGGCCCCGCTAAACTCATCCTCCCACCTCTTTGTGTTCCCTTTCTCCTGTGTTCCTGAGGCTGCAGTGTCCTGACATTTAGGGCTCAGGAAATAAAGCCACGGGCAGCCAGCTTCAGCTGTTACAGTGAATGTGAGAATTCCCAAAGCCCCTGGACCCCACTCCTGCTCCTGGCCATGAAAGGGGCACTGCTGCTCATGTACCCTTTTCTCCCTGCCCTTTCTGGTGCACGAACCCCTGCCTGCAAGTGTGCTTGTGGAACCCTCCCAGGCCCAGAGATGGACTAAGAGGAGGGGCCCTGCAGCCCCTGCCGTGGTTGCTATCTTCCCCCACAGTGGCAAGGTTAGGCTCCAAAGTCAGAGAGAGATGAGAAGTACCAGGTCTTTACTGCACAATCATTCGAAAGCACACAGCAGCAATTCCTTTAATACACAGCCAAGCAGTTCAAGTTTACTGCATACAGTGACATCTGAAGACGTGTGGGCATCGCTGAAGCTTGCAGCAGCTCTGCTCTGGAGCTATGGGGTTAGAGTCAACGCACCTCACTGCATTAGCAGCTTTTTGGGAACGGGAGGGGGCTGGCTTGACGCTCATGGTGGCAGGGTGGGAGGAGGCCCCACCAACCAGGCCTTGCTCCTGCCGCCTCCCAGGGGACCCGGGAAGCACTCCCAGGCCCAAGGCTCACCCCAGGTAACTCCTGCCCGGCTGGGGTGTCTGTGGGTGTGGGGAGGGAGAGGGACACTCCCTGGTTCCAGAGGCTTTGGCGTCTTCTTCCCTCATGGGGACACGGGGCACATCATGAGGACGGAGGGGATGTGTTACAGCGGCTGCCCCCTCCCTGCTGCCTCCTGGGCTCTATCACACAATTCCTCCAGCTCTGGGGCTGGGCAGGGGACTCAGCAGCTATCACCATAGGGAGGGCAGGGAAGGCTCATCTCTCCTTCCTTCCTTGCTTCCTTGGGTGCCGGATGGAACCAGGGCCCTGGGTATGCTAGGTGAAGGCCCTACAGCGGGCTGTATCCCCACCCGAAGGCTCACCTCCTGACTGTGAAAGGTGCACGTCCTGAGGCCTCCAACTCAAAGAGAAGGCAAGTGGGGTGGCCAGAGGGGCCTGCTGGTGCAGGAGAGGAGGGAACAGCAGAGCTCACACCCACACTGCCCCCCATGCCTCCATGGTCTGAACATCACCTTGAGAACAGTACAGGCTCCCATCCTGCTCCACGACCCCTTTCAAAAGGTGATCGTGCTCCAGGGAACTTTCCAGGCTCTGGCAGTGCCCTGCTAGGCCCGTCCAGGAGGCTTTGTGAGCCCATGGCTTCGTAGCGCTGAGCTGCACAGGCCTTCACAGGGCAGCTTCTCTGCATGTCCCTGTGCAGCTCAGGAGGACAGGTTACCGCCCCAGTGGGGGGCCTGCAGCTGGCTCTGGCCTGGGCTCCTTGCCCAGGTTTGTCTGCCCTGGCAAGGTTGACAGGTGGGGGTGTGACCCCTAAGGCTGCCTGAGGTGGCCCTGGCCATCTGTGGGCATGAGGAGGGCACAGGGTTAGGGGTAGGTGGTGCCAGCCTTCCCTGAACAAGGGAGGCTCAAAGTGCTGACAGTGCTGGTTTTGGGTCATTTCTCCTTTTCTTGCCAAGGCCAGCACCCCAGACCTATGAAGAACTGGGGGCTGATGCTGAGGAAGGGGGGGCTTTGGTGAGGAGCACGGGGCAGGCAGCCAAGAAGAGGCAGGACAGGAGGACGATGGTTACTAGGACTGACCCTGACCCCTCCATTGGCAGCAGGTCTGTATGGCAGTGGCTGTGCCCGGCCACCTGCCTGCCCCATGCCAGGCCGAGTGGCTCCCACACATCTGCTCAGGGTGAGAAGGCCTGGATTTCTGGGGTGACTTGCTTAGGATCAAGAATAAAAAAATATTTTCTGTTGAAATATAAGAGGGAAAAAAAAATCTTAAAAAACTAGAACTTTTAATCAGGAACGTGGAATTGAAAATGTCCCCAAGTCTCGTTTCCACAGTGTCTGCACAGCCCCGATGGAGGGTTGTGGCGTGAAGCGGGCCGGGCCTGGTGCAGGTCTTCTGGCCCCAGCTGGGGGTGTGGAGGGGGTGGGGGAGTGCCAAGGGCATCACTGCCCTGCTCCCACCCGGGGTCTTCCTGATGAGGGAGACACTGTGATGCTGGTGAGACAGGAGCCCAGGCTGAGGGCAGACCAGGATGCCACCCAGTTTTAGGAGAGAATGTTCTGTTCCTGGTATTTGCGCCGGCGGGCACAGCGGGGGCAGCCCTTTTTTACCACAGCTTGGCAGCTCTGATGGAAGACAGTCTTGCACTCAGCACACCTGGGGAGAGACCGGCCGCTGTGCCAGGTGGGGTACGGGCTGGCCTGGGCACTGGTGAGAGCCCACAGTGAGCTGTGCTCTGCCCCACAGCCCATGCCCACACATGGTGCCCTCGGCCTGTGCTGAATGCTGCGTCAGACAAGATGACCTGCAAGCCATCGACATACTCTGCACTCTGCCTCACTGCACTTTTATAAACAACTGCTTGGGTGTCCCTAAACGACTCTGGTCTAAAACCAGCCCCAGGTCCAGGTATGCTGTGTCCTGGCCAGATGAATCTACTGAAAGGGATGACTGGCTCCTATGTGGGTTGAAGGAAAGCTGGGGTGAACTTTTCCACTCAGGCTTCTGATCCTGAGGAGTAACTGGGGCCAAGAACGATCACTGCAGTGCAGAAGCTGTGGCCTGCACCACCTACCACCCGTTTCTGGCTGTGGTGGCAACTCGTTCAATCCCTCTTCAACCCATTATCAGACTGAAGTCAAGCAGGCCCAGCTCGGAAAGCCCACCTCACCTCTCTCAGGGAAACAGATGGCTCAGCAGAGGGGGAAGCCAGGGCCTGGGCTGTTCTGGACAACCTCACCACCCAGCCAGGGCAGAGACCTACTTCTGGGATGCTGGGCCAGGCTGAGGGTGTGGGGTGCTGTGGGTGTCCCACATACCTGACTGTGGTGTCAAACTCAAAGGGGAAGATGATGTCATGGTGGTGGCAGATCTGGCAGATGAAGCCCCGCTGGGTGCACAGGTCGCAGTGGTAGACGTGCTGGGAGGCGAACTCGATCAGGGTCTTGAGGAACCCTTCGTATACCCCCTCTGCAATCTGCGGAGTGTTGGCCTGACCTTAGCACTTATGCTACCATGACATCTCCTCACTGGGGGCCTGCCCCCACCCTCCCAAGTGGGCAGGGAGATGGCCAGCCCTGTGCCCCAAGCTCTCTGGGGAATATGGGATTAGTACATGTGACCCAAACCTTTCTGCTCTCCCTTGAGGAAAGCAGGGCTCTGAACTCTTACCCCTGGGACCCCGGGTCTGCTGAGTGCCTGTTTCAGTCCCTGCCCAGCAAGCTGGGCACAGCAGGGACCCCGTTCTGAGGGGAAGAAACTGAAGAACTGCAGGCCCCTTCCTCCCACTTCCCTTTCTGGTTTCTCCAGGAATGAGCGCTCTGGGGAGGGCCATGCCTGCTCACCTGCTGCAGGTCGGTGACACTGAACTTATAGGGAGACTCCAAGAGATAATGCCTGTATCCGAGCCTGAAAGAAACACAGAGCCTCAGCCAAGTTTAAGGCCCAGACTAGCCTGCGCCATCTCCCTTCCCAAAGCACTGCTGGCTGGCAGGGCTAAGAGCATGAAGCAGCCAGCCTGGGCTCCCACCTGGCTCCCAGGGAAACTGACAAACTGGTGGGACTTGGACAAGTCATCAAAACTCCAAACCACAGGTGTCCTCTGAGAAGTGGAGCTGTTTGGGGAATTAATATTCATTTAAAGCATGTGGCACAGTGCCCAGCACACAGTAAACGCACGACTAAGCACTGCTGCTGTGTGCTGACCGTAGGTCCCAACAACTCGGCTAAGAGCTTCCCACATACTCATTTCACCCTACAGCAATCCTGTGAGGCCAGCCCTTTGGAGAAGGCAGGAAACAGAGAAGTGAAGTAACGTCCCTGAAGCCACACAGTAAGTCAGTGTTGGAGCTTGGGGGCAGGAGTCTGGTGCCGGAGGCTGGACCCCATCACCCCACTCAGGTACTGCCTCGTGACACACTAGGGGCAGAAATGTACAGCTGTGGCCACTGCCCTCTTGCAGCCCTGGATCCAGCGGAAGGACTCAGTCTCTGGTGCCACTGCTATGTGAGAGGAGCCCAGATCCCGTTTCAGAAGCCACGTGGGGGCGGAGGACGAGGGCTCTGGTTCCCACCATCAGCAGGACCCCGGTCACATCCTGAGGGATGGAGAGGAAGCGCCTGCAGAAAACCCCTGGCACGGAACCTCCTTGCCTTGCTCCATCTGTGGCACTGGGGTGGGGACACGCTGCATCACAGGAAGCTGGGGAACCTGTGCCAGCATGCCTGGACAACAGGGCAGGAGTGTGGCACGTGCTGAGGCGTGTGGATGGAGCTTGGCCACGCCCCATTGCCCCACTGATGGCCTTGTTGTGGTCCAAGAGGCTCCCAACCTGAGGCAGGCGAGTCTCACAGGCAGCCTGACAGGTGCACTGTGCCAGGGACGGGGACACTGCCGACTTGCTATTTCGTTTACCATTCTGTTTTCCCCAGTGAATGCCCAGCTTTCTGAAACAGGAAGCTGCCGTTTATTACCAGGAAGATACGGGAGGAGGGACATACACACATACAGGCTGGCCCTGAGCTGGCAGGAAGGACAGGGCTGGTTGGGAGGGAGAGTTATCCCTGTCATCTGCCCTGTTCACAGTCCTGGGAGCCTCAGACGCCAGCCAGGCCCAGGACCTGCACGGGGACCCACGGTTCCCGGAGGCCTTGCAAGGCTTAGTCAAGGCCAGATGGAAGCTAGGCGTGGTGATGCATGCCTACAACCTCAGCACCTAGGAAGGTGAAGCACGAGAACCACAAGTTCAAAGCCAGCCTGGGCCACACAGTGAGACCCTGTCTCAAAACAAAAACAGAACATCAGAGAGAGGGAGGAAGGGACAATGAATATGAGGGAATGAAAATAAAGAAAGGCAGCGGCCCCCCAGTCTAGGTCAGTGCCCTCCCTGGAGGCACACACTGTGCTGCGGCGGCCATCTGTCTGCCAGGTGTGGAAACCCTCACCCCACTCAGTACGGCCGCAGGAACACAGTGTTTCCAGGCTCGTGCTAGAGACAGGAAGCTGGGTCGTCAGTGGCTGAGGCTGGGCAGGGGCTCCTATGCCTTTCCCCGTTCTCTGCCTCCTCCAAACAGCACTGCACAGGCACAGCCTGCCCACTAGCAGGCTGGACGCACACACACATGCTGCCCGGGCACCCACCGCACCAGAACCCATGGGGTCCTGGTCTACACAGGTCTGCAGCCTCTTTGGGTCCTGAAGGAGGACGAGACTCCTGAGATAGCCCTAGATGTTCCACCACCTCACAGGGCAGGAGACCATGGCATCTCAGAAAGGGGAGTGAGCCAGCCTGGCCAAAAAGGGGGACCCAGGTGAGCCCCAGACAGCCTCTTTCCTCCCAGGCCCTGAGGGAAAAGGGTAAGTGCTGCGGGCCCTGAGCATTACCCAAACACACCCTAACCTGCTGCTTGGTACTTTCCATGTTCCCAGTAAATACTTGTTGAATGAATCAATTAATGTATAAATGAGCCCTCAAAGCTGTGGTGACTCTACAAGGCCTGAAAGGCCACTCACCTCTTGCTCAGCTCCTTGAGGGCTCCGCTGCGGCACAGGCCCAGGTAGTCCCCCAGGAGCTTCAGCTGCTCCCGGCTCCGGCCGATGAAGCCCATCTGCTCCACGTGCTCATACAGCGAGGGGTTCACCAGCTGCAGGTTGACGAGGGGCTGCACCTGGATCTGTGCCAGGAACTTCAGGGCCTGCCGGCAGATCTGGGGCCCCACAGGAAGGAGGCTGCTCAATAAGCCCCTCTGGGTGCACTGCCCCTACCCCGCCCCCGCAGCCTCCTCCTTCACTTTGCACACCAGGAAACCATTTCCAGGTTTGGAGAGACAAGGCCTCTTGGCCAAGGTCACACAGGTCAGAATGATTCAGGCGAGATCTGACCCCCAAGGTGCTCTCCCTCTAACAGCTCCAGTAGCTCCTCCCTGTCCTGGCTGAGATGCAGAGGCATCTCTGTCCAAGGTAACCCCCTCACCCTTCTTCCTGTCCTCGCGCTCCTTTCCTGCCTGAAGAAAGCTGGCTCTCCCCACTGGGCCCGACTCAGCAGCCAGGGGGTCCATCCAGCCCCAGGAAGTGGAAGAGGTGATGCCACTCAACAAGACTCCCCAGTGCCCAGCTCTCGCCAGCAACCAGCAGGGCTCCCCTGTCCCTCCACTGGGGGAATCAATCCCAGCCTCTCCCAACTGACTGCAGCGAGGCTGAAGATTATGTGCCTGCACCCTCCCCCAGTGTCAACAATTGTGCAGCTACGATGCATGCGCCTGACACTGGGCGAGGGACTGTGCCCACATCCTTTCCTTATCTCAGAGCAGCTCTCACAGTAAGGAGGCAGCATCCCCATCTGATACCAGAGGACAGTGAGGCTCAGAGATGCTCAGGTGGTTTCTCAGCCTCCGTGGAGAGTGGAGCCCAGCTCTGCGCTGCAGTGTGGTTTCTGAACACCAAGGAGAACTCCCTTGCCCTGTGGTCTCCTGGTGGCGTGCTAAGGAGCTGAGGTTCACCAGAGGAAGATGCAAGCTCCTTCCTCATGAGGAAAGAGCAATTCCACACATGTCCTTGGCACTGGGTCTGGCACGCAGCTCATCTTCAGTAAATGTGAGCTGCTGTGTGAGACCTCCTATGGCCCTGCCATGCCCCTGAGGGTCAGGATTTAAGTCAGGGTAAATCCAAGGACCAGCCACTTTCTATTTTTATTTTTCCTGTCTTTCCCAGGCCAGTGGCCAGTGGCCTTTGAGGGAGAGCTGGACACTTCCTGATCTGAGGAAAGCACGGTGATTTCCTACTTAGGAAACACTCAAGGACAGAAACTCCAGCAGTGAGTGAGGAGATGGGTCAATAGAAGCATCAGGCCTAGTACGGAGGGAAAGTGCTTCCTGGTCAGAGGGTTTTTTACAGTGGCAATTTTGACCGCTATTCTTCTCTGTGTGCTAATTTAAATACTTAGCCTGAGGGCAGAGGTAGGGACAAGAAACAATAGAACAGCCAGTGAGGCTGACTTTGGGGTTTCCCTTTGATGGAGAACCTTTCCTGCTTTTCTGGGACACATCTGCAGGCCAAGACGGCACACTGTGGTCTGTGCCTTCAAAGAAGCAAGCAGCTTCTCCTGTGTCTCAGGGCAGCTGTCACAGAAGTGTGAGCCTCCAGGGAGAGCCAAGTGTGTTCTTGAGGCAGATCCTGAACAACTGAGCGGCATGAGGGGCCTCCTGGGAGAAAAGGCTGTGCTGGAAGCACTGCTCTCCATGACAAACATGTACCGCCGCACCTGCCCTCACAGCAATCCCCAAGATAGGCGATGTCGGCCATCCTGCTAGGGATAAGGACACCGAGCTAATTTGCTCATGATACTACAGCTAGAAAACTAGCTTCACTCAGCTACAGAAAAGGACCATCTGAAAGGTCTTGTTTAAAAGTGTCTGGTAGATGTAAAAAAGTACGCAAGATGTGGTATAAAATGAACAAAGATGGACTGAGGAGGAGGAAGAGTCCAGCATGACCCCAACTTCACAGAGAGCAGACGGACAAGTGCATAAATGCAAAGAAGAGCTGTGCTCCAGAACGTCAAGAGGGACACTCTCTGGGCTATGATACAAAATTCTGATCTGTCTTTGGGCTTGCAATTTTTAAATGTTAAGTAATAATCACATATTGTCTTTATAACAGGTGGATGACCAGAAAAAAATGAAGTCAGGCAAGGCAAGACCTGCAGAAAAGTACAGTCAGCTGGACTCCCAGGCTGGCAAAGCCAAGGGGCGTAGCCAACCGGATGACCTACCCACCCACAGCCATCTATCCATCCATATCAAGTCTACCCCACCCTAATCTTCCTATATACTCACCTACCCATCTACTTATCTAGCTACCTACCTAGTTGGTAGCTCCTTAGACAGTGTCTGTCACTGTAGGAGCTCCAAGAACCACCCTCAGATGCCCACCTGGGAACCAAGGCAGGCGTTCACAGAGGTCTGTCTGCTGTGGGACTTGGTAGGCACCAAGCATTTCTCTTGAACCAGTGACCCTGGCTTCCCTCTAGCCAAACTCTTCCAGACAGACAAAGAGCAGCAGCAAACGGGAACACTGCCGGGTCATTGTGTGGTTACAACAGGTTCCCTGTGGACTTACCGGGCGCTTAGTGAGGTCCCAGTTGTGGATGATCCTCGCTGGAATCACTGAGGCATCATCTTGGTGGCAGATGTCACAGTAATAGAGGCCAGAGAAGGCACAGAGCTTGGGTCGTACAAAGGAGAATCCAATCTGCCGGGAGCAGCCTGGAGAAGGGGTGATGGGTGGGTAAGTGAGCTGTGGAGCTTCAGTAACACAGGAGCTACCCTAGCAGGAAGGCCCTTCTACTTTGTGTTTTTTTAAAGGAAAGTACAAAGGTAAAAATACCCTCAACTCACATTTCCAGCACTCAGAACCAACACTATTAACCGCAACAGTGTACTGCAAGAGCTATCACTGCCCTACCACAGATGAGGAGCTGAGGCTCAGAGGCGCAGAAGTCTGTCTGGTCTTGCCAGGAGACTTGGCTGACCTGAGCCCCATGCTCACCATACCCGGCAGCCTCTGTCCTAAGGCTCTGTTTGCTCCCCAGTCCTCTCCGTCTACTTCTCCACAGGGGCCCAGAAATGGAAGCAACCAAGTGGGGGCTTGGGTGAGCAGGGAAGCAGCTGGCCTGAGAGGTGGCCACAGCAGTGGGAAGCTAGCGAGGCAGAGCGGCCTGGACATTGTCCGGAGCCATCTCAGACAGTGGACATGCTCCACAGCAAGGGCAGTGTGAACGGGTGTGCCCAAGGTGAAGAGACAAGCCCCAGTTTAAACCCTGAACCATGTCTTGCTTCCAAGGGAAGAGGGAAGGATCCTTTTGGACTGTGATCAACTGCCTCATCCCCAAAGGCACCTAATTTTCTCAAAGTTCCATTTCAGTGTTTATAAAACTCAGCTACTTCTAGCTGTTTTGCAGGCTCATCACAAAAGATACATGAAGGCTTGGTGGGGGGAAGCTCAGTGGTGAGCACCTGCCTAGAATGTGCGAAGCCTGGGTTCCATCGCCAGGATCACAGAAACAAAAAAGCAGAGACCAACTGCAAAGGCAAAGCATACACAAACAAAGGCCTTCTTGTACCATGCACCTGAATGACAACAAGGAGGTCAGTGGCCAGTGTCTGCTTGGCCTTTTACAGAAAACTACAGGGTGGAAACTAAGCCTGCACTCTCTGGTTTCAAGTCCTGCTGGCTGGCTGGCTGGGTGGTGGGGTGTCAGGGAGAACACTCTGCAGCCCTCACACCCAAAGGCAGGGCCTCCCTTCACCTGTGCTTCTGCAGGAAGCTCTGCTGTACTCGCTTCTCCCGTCCTCCAGGGTACCGCAGGCCACTTCCTTCCAGACACCTGACACAGGCTTCGCGCAGTCCCACAGGCTCCACCCCACTGGGACTGCTCTGAAGCCACAGTTCAGCCTCTTCTGCCTTCTAGCATGCAGCGGGCATCTCCCAACTGCAGGGAAGGCAGATGCCATTGAGGTGTGGCAGTGGGTGTTGTGCAGCCTGGGCCAATGGGAGACCTCTGGGATCCTGCCTTAAAGCACAGGCTTGGGCCTGGCCAGCTATGTCTGCTCTGCCACTTACTAGGTTATGCGAGCCTGAGACAAGGTGCTTCTAGCTGGGAGCCTCATTTCCTCACTTATAAACAGAAAACAGCAGCCTCTACCTCTATGAAGCTGTTGAGAAGGTTAAGTGAGATAATCCAAAGAACGGGATTGCATGATGACAGTCCTCTAGCAGATGTACTAACAGAGACACTAGCTACCATGGATTATTAAGGAGAAAAAAACCAAGCTGCAGAATTATATGGTGCTACACTGGCCAAGACAGTAGCCATGAGTCATAGGTAACCCTTTACATTTAAGTAAAATTTAAATGAAAATTCAGTTTCTTAGCCACGCCAGCCATACTTTAAGCACTGTGTTCACTGTGGCTGACTTAGAACAGACTTAGAACACCTTCAAGACCAGAGAAAGTTCTACTGGATCACACTGAACAGCACAACTTGCAAAAGAAAGCCGAAATCTCTGCTTTGGGAGGACCACATGCCTGCTATGGACGCCTGTGAGAGTACAGGAAGAAGGACGCAAAGAAGGATGCAAAGACACCTGTGTCAGGTGTCTGCAGGAAGCAGGGCTGCCACCCACGGGCCCCACCCTGAGGGAAGTGGCAGGAGAGGGAGGTCTGGGGGTGCCTGTGGACAGGAGCTGCAGCTGTGGGGCCGTCTAGTGAAGGATGGAGCCCTGGGGGGAGTCCAGGTCAAAAAGGCGCATTGGGCGGGGGCAGTGGGCGTCAGTCAGCACCTGCACAGAAGCAGCCCTGGGAGTCCAAGCCCTTCTCCGTGGGGATGGCCACCAGGTACTGCAGGAGGAACCCATTCTCCCGGGTGGCGAACTTCAGCACCTCCTGACAGCTTTCATCCAGACTCCCACCAAGTGTCACGGCTTCCTCAGCCATCTCCAAGTAGGACGCTAAGACCTTGCGGACCAGATCCCTCCACACAGCAGCCTCCTCGGCGTTCCCAGCCTGCAGCTTCAGGATGGCCTTGGCGGTGATGATTTTGAAGAAGGCCGGACCCCCGAGGCTTGTGTCCGGCAGGACATCTCTGATGGTCTCTACTCCATGGCTGTCACTCAGCATCTTCTCATTATTCCTCACACGGAAGCACTTCAGAGATTCCAAGGACAGGGAAAAAATATAGGGCACCCAAGTCCTGTCTGCATACAGGTACAGAAGAGACTCTTTGATAGCATCTGGCTCTGGAACCTGGGCAGATGTCCAGTCACACTGTGTGCTCTGGGAGATAGCTGGCTCTGGGAGCAGGGCCGAGTTAGAGGCATGGTTGCCCGGGGGGACCTCAGCAGGCTCCTCGGGCTGCTCTGGGTACTGGATGTTCACCCACTCATCCTCCTGCTGTGGCCGGAACTTCTGCAGGGCCTCTCGCACCCGGTCCAGCCAGTCCTCTGCCTCATCCTGGGAGGAGGCCCGCAGGGCCAGTTTCTTGCTGGAAAAGACCAGCTCGAAGCGGCCATCACCGTGGGCTGGCCCCACCGCCTCACAGCGCAGCAGGGAGCAGCTCTCCACGCAGGTGCGCTCCTCATCGCTCAGGTAGAGGCGGAGCTCCATTGGGGACAGCTCACAGAAGAGCTCTTTCCAGATGCCCATGGCCCCCCGCCGTGACACTGTGCCCAGCTTTAGGAGGCCCCGGAATGGGTTGGACAGCCCTGGAGGCAGAAAGAGGCAGGTTAGCATGTAGCCTTTCACCACCCCTGTCACCTCTGGTGCACACTGTCCTGCTGGGGGGTGGGTGTACACAGCCAGTCAGGTACTGCCAAATGGGACAGTGCCAGCCAGAAGGGAGTACACATGGAGGCTTGCTCCCTGCCTCCACCCAGCTGCTGACCTTGCTTCCTAGTTTCACTGGAGGACGAAAGAGCCCCTCCTCATAGTACCCCTTCCAGCACCTGTGCCCGCACCCCAACTTCCCGCACCAGGGACACACAGACTGCTTCCACTTGAAGAACCCCCTCACTTGAGGCCACCTCTCCAGCAATTCCCCTTCTCTCCTCTGCCACCGTTTCCCCTTCTTAGGCACACAAATGTGCTGTAACTTCTCCCATCTTTAAAATTTCCTCTAGTCTGGACTCATATCTCCAATTACCACCCCTTTCTTGGTCCCTTTTACAGAAAAACTGCATGAAGAAGTACCAATACTCTGTCTCTAGTTTCTGTGCTACCATTCCTCCTCCTCCTTTTTTTTTTTTTGTACTGGGAACTGAACTCAGGACCTTGCACTTGCCAGGCATGGCGCTTGTGCCCCTGAGCTATATCCCTGGCCCTCCCATTCCTTCTTGATTTCACCCAAGTTTGGTTTTTGTCTCCTTGCTCCACTCAACCTGTCCCTAGGAAGGGCACTAAGACACCCATGTCCACACCAGAAGGCTTCCCTGGGGTGCTCTTCTCTACCTTCAGTCTCCTTAGGTCCCTGATTATTCAGGATTGGTGTACCCTGGTGCCCTGGGGGTCTTCTCTAGGATACCCACCTCACAGCTGCTTCTTTCTCTCAGGGCTTTATGCCAACAACTCCCCAGCTGTGCTCTCCAGCCTGGACTTCGCCCACAAACTTCAGACTCGCATATCCACCTGCCCCATGTGTCAGAGGCATCTCAGAGTCGCCAAAACAAATCCTGATCCGCCCGCTGCAAACTTGCTTCTTTCCTACTATTTCTCATCCCATAATCAGCAAACTTGCTTGGGCTAAAAACCCTGGAGTCATCTCAGGGTATCTCGTTCACAGCCCACATCCAATCAGTGCATCCTGTAGCTTTTGCCTTCAACACATAGGCAGAAGCTGCCACGCCTCCTTGGCTGTCCCACATCCTCACTGGGCCAGTCCTGACACCCCTGGCCTGGTTTAGGACAACAGCCCCTCACTGCTACATCCTTTGGTGTGAGAGCCAGGAAGAGTTTAAGAGGAGCTAGATCAGCCCCATGCTTTGTGGCTTGCAGGCTCCATCCTGCTGTCCCCCACCCCGCTGTCCATGTATATTCCAACGCATTATCTTTGCATTTCTTCTCCCTGCTTGAAATACCCAGGTCGCCTCCTGCCTCCCTCCCTTCCTTTCTTCTCTTCCCGTGTCACCTGGCTTGTGAGGGCCACCCTGGCCATCTTCTAGCAGTACTATACTCTCCAGTGCTGCACTCTGACTCTGTCCACACAGCTCTTATCATCACCTGACCGTGCTCTACCTGTGCTTATTAGTGTTTGTACTTCCTGTCTCCTCCACCGGACTGTAAATCCTGCAAAGGCAGGGAACTGTTTTGTGTCCCCCAGCACCTAGAACCATGCTGGGTACATCACAAAGGCTCATTAACTCTGCTGCTGAAGGAGCAGGTGAGTTCGTGCTGATGTGCCACGCACCACTCCACACTCTCTCCTCCCAGGGGATACTCCTCCCCTGGGAGTCCAGGGGACACATAATGCTCTCTTCCAGCCTGGAGTAGCTCCAGAGGCTGGATTTTCCTACCCCTCAGAGGTCCTGATGGCCTAGTCAAGAAGCACACTTGCTGCACGGTTACAACAGCCATGGGCTGAAATATAAACCCAGAAGCCACGGAGAAACCAGAGCTTTGCCCACACTCCCAGGCCAGGGCCCACGAACCTAGCAGCATTCTCTGCTGCATCAGTACACACAGCAAATGAGGAAAGAGGGATCAATGCATGGGCACACTGGTGGTATCTGTTTGTCTTACGAGAAAACTCATTTGGAGGGGATACGAATATTAGGTTATGGTTATTTAATGCTTTCTGGACTTTCACAAGGTGCAGAGATCAAGCTGGCCTCACTGTAAATAGCACACAGAGGACAGAAATCCACAGCAGATATGATAAACCCTACCAGAGTTTTAAATGGATAATCAGAGATAAAAACCTTTGGAAGGAGCTGCTAGACGCATGGGCAGGGTTTGCTTTGAGCCTGTGGGAATCAAGACTTTTCTGTGATCTTAAGTTTTGTATCGTAACTCCAGGGAGAATACTTCTATTTCAATACACAAAGTATCTTTATTCTCTGTAGTCAATTTTGGACACTTAGTAAGATTTTAGGGGAGAATATAGCATTTTTTCCCAAAATACTTTTCTGAATTACTAAGCACAAGTGTGCTGTAAGTATGATATTACCATGTTCTAGGACAGTGGTGGCAAACATATGGCACGGGTGCCTCAGTGGGCTGTTTGCATCATGGAAAGCTCTAAAAGGTTTGCCATCACTGTTCTAGGGTGAGATTTTTCTCTAAGAACATAGTACCTGCTGGGTAAAGTCAAATAGGACTTTTTGAAAGGCATGGTCCTCGCAGAAGGAACCCTGTGGAGTCACCTACCCATCTGCCGCCGGTGCACCACCCTGAAGTTCTTGTGCTCCTGCACCGGGGCTGCCATGGTGCTCCTGTGTCCCGGGGAGGGCACACACATTTTGTCCAAGGCGCCCAGGGAGCAGCTCTTTCTTGGTCCTTGAGAACAGTGCCGGTGGAGAACAGTCCTCAGCTCCGGGAGTCCTCTAGAAGCAGCCATGGCACTGTCAGGAGGAGGCTCCTGGGGAGGCCGGTAGAAGTCATCTTCGGAGATCCAGCTCTTGCTTTTCTATGAAGAAAAAAGATAAAGGCAGTGTGCTCTTAAAAAAGATCTTTAGTTATGATTCACTTATCATAGCATTAACTCACTTTATTAAAATGAATTTTTTTTGTACCAGGAATCGAACTTAGGACCTTCAGTTTGCCAGGAAGGCGCTTGTGCTGCTGAGCTCTATCCCTGGCTTTTGTTTTTGAGACAGGGCTTCACTATGCAGTACATATTGGCCTTGAACTTGCTTATGTAGCCTAGGCTGGCCTCGGACTCATGGCAATCCTCCTCCTTAGCCTCCTGCGTGCTGGGATTACAGGCCTGTGCCACCACACCTGGCTGCATTAACTAATTCTTAAAAATGGGTGTATGATTGAAGTTTTGGGCCCTCCACAGAATTGTGCAACCAATGATCCAAGTTTACAATATTTTCATCCCCCACAAGAAATTTCCTACCCATTAGGCATTCCCTCCATTTCCCCAAGACCACCCAGGTCTAGGCACCTGCATGTCTATTTTCTGTCTCTGAAGATTTGTACTTTCTATAATATGTGATCTTTTGTGACTGACTTCTTTCTTCCAGTAGAATGTTTTCAAAGGTTCTTCCATGTTGCAAAAGTTTGTCAGCATGTATTCCTTTTCACTGCCAAATAATTGTGTGGATACACCAGATTTTTTATCTTCTCATCAGCTGATGGGATATTTGGGTTGTTTTCACTTTTTGTCTATAATGAACGTCTATGAACAAGTTGTGTGGACTTGTTTTCCTTTCCTTGCATACATACTTGGGAGTGGAACTACATGGTCAGAGGTGACGCCACCATTTTACATTCCCACCAGTAATGCACTATTCCATCTCCTGATTCTAGCCATCCCATGGGTGTGAGGTGCTACTCTGTTACGGCTTTGATGTGCATTTCCCTTACGTCTGACGACACATCTTTTCATGTGCTTACTGGTTACTAGTGCACATTCACTTGAGAAAAATCTATTTGTACCCACAATATTGGGTTATTTATTGTTTACCTGTTGGGTTGTGTCAAGGGCTGAATCATGCTCCCTAGTAAGACAGGAGGTCCCTCATTTAAAATACAGTCCTTGCAGATGTATGTAATTAAGGTGAGAGCCTCCTGAAGCAGGGTGAGCGCTCAATTCAATACGACTAACACCCTTGTATAAAGAGAAGGAAAGACAGACACACACCTTAGTCATTTTTCTTATTGCTAGGACAAAATATGTGACATTAGCAGCTTAAAGGAGGAGAGGTGTATTTAGCTCATGGTTTCAGGATTTCCAGTCCAGATTTGGCTTAAACACAGAAACACGGTGGAGGGGCTCCCATTACAGCGGCCAGGAAGCAGAGTGGGATGAGGAGCCGGGAGGAGTGGGGAGGGAGAACCACCATTCCAAGCCTCGCCCCCAGTGAACAGGCTCTTGGGCCTGGCCCCATCTCCCAACAGCAAGCCAGCTATGTCACCCCTGTGACTGCAGCACTTCCCACAAGCCCCACCTATGCACATGAGACCTCTGGGGGACCTTCTGTAGCCCAACCATGACACACACAGAGAAAGTCAAGTCAGAAACCGGGAGGGAGAGCGACGCAGATACAAGCCAGGCAATGCTGAGGTTTGCCAGCAACATTTTTTTTGTTTTGTTTTGTTTTTTCCGGTACCGGGAATTGAACTCACGACCTTGTGCTTGCCAGGCAGGTGCTGTGCTGCTGAGCTAAATCCCCAGCCCCTGCCAGCAACATTACAAGGGAGGAGAAAGGCATGGTGCAGACTCTCCTTAGTATCTCCAGAGAGAAGCAGGGTTGGTTCTGTTGGTTCCCTCTCTGTTGGAGAGGGAACAAGTGCTTGCTTTGCTCAGGCAGCTGCGAGGAGGACAGAGGTCACTCAGTGGGCAGGGGAGGGGCTCTGCTGCCAAGTTAGCGGTTCTGTCCCTTCGGGTCTGGGGCCCTGGCAGATGGGTCTGTGCCTGCAGAGCAGAGGCCAGGTCCTCGGCAGGGCGAGCTCGGTGTGGCTAAGGCCATCACCCCAGCCTCCACAGCTACCAAAGGATGTTTTTTCTGTTTTAACCCATCCAGCTTATGGCACGCAGTCTTGGCTGCCTTAGGGAGCTACAAATGGAGAAAGGTCTTTACACACTGCAGATACTGGACCTTACCAGTGATGCAATTTGCTGATGCAGCACTCTCTCTCACCTGTGAGCTGTCCTTTCATTCTCTTAATGCTGCCCTCTGAGGCACAAGTTTTTAATTCTGATGAAGCGCAATTTATCTATGTTATTTTTTGGTCTGTGCTCCTGGGGTTCTATCAGAAAATCACTGCCAAAACCAACACCACAAACATTTACTCCTATGTTTTCTGCTAAGAGGTTTGTAGTTTTTGCTCTTACATTTAGGCCTATGGTTCACTTTTAAGAGAGTTTGGAGGTAAGGTGTGAGGAAGGGGTGCACCTTTACCCTTCTGCAGGTGGATATCCACAGTTCTGCACATTGGGCTTTTCCACCCCACCCGCTTTTAGGGTTTGGCGGACAGGGCTCAGTCCTCACTGGCTGCCTCTCCTGTCCCTTCTGCTGTGCTCTGAGCCTCAAGTTGCTCACTGACAGCGGAAGCAGGGAGGCTTGGGGTCAGTCAGCTTGTGGGAACAGATTCCAGTTCCTTTTCTTCCCACTATCTCACTACTCTCTGCCTTTCTGTGCCTGAACATGGAAGAGCAGAGGCAAGGAAGCTGTCCAGGCTGCCCAAAGCGCCTGTTCGCACAGAGAAGATGCGTCCTGCGAGGGGTAAGCCAGCCCAGCCAAACCTTCACGGTGCTATTTCCGAGCTCTAAATCAAGACTGCTCTTTGTGCTTCTGTAGCAGAGGAGAGGAGGGGGACTGGGGCTGTCTCAGAAGAGCTGAGTACTCTACTCAGACGGCAAAAGACTCCGAAGTCAAGACTCAGGTACTTAGGGAGCCTCTTCCATGGGCCCTCGAACTGGCAGGTGCTTCCTTCTGCCAGGGACTAGACAATGTGCCGGGGGGTCATCAGGACCCAGGGGAACTCCCCAACAAAAAGGGTGAAGTAGAAGAGGTGGGTTGAGTCAGGAACTGGGGGACAGAGACAAGCATGAATTTTATGATTAGGAAGAACAAAGGCTTCTCTCTTCTCTGAGCTCCAGAGACCATTAGGAAATGTGGGACACCGTCCACGGGCCAGAGCAGCCTCCAGGAAAGGATTCTCTGGGGACAATCTTTGCCTCTGCCAGCAACGGGAATGAGGGCTGGGGCACCACCATGGAATGGGGTGGGAGCAAACTGAGAGTGTGTGCAACTTCCAGTCTCCTTGTCTCACCCCTCTTGTGTAATTCTTCTTGGCCTGCTTACTCAGGGCAATTACCTGGCCAGCTCCCTACACCCTCAGCACTGATTCAGAATCTGCTCTAGAGCAGCACTTGCTACCAGAGACCCAGGACAGAGGAATACCACCGCCAGCTACCCAAATACCATCACGTCGTGCACAACAGCTAAGTCCCAGAGGTGGGCCTGGTGGGGAGTGACATGTCAGGTCTCTGGACTGCTTTCTAACAGGTTTTCTGCCCAGGCAAGGGGACTGTCCATACCCACCACTACAGGAGGAGACCCTATCCCACCTGTAGGTGTGATCCAGAGTGATCTAGCCATGTGTCCCTGTGCCCATTCTTCTCAGTACAAATGCAATCATGATGTGAAGCATCACCTGTCTAATCCAGTGTCTGTCCCCAAAGGGAAGGGCTATTGTCTGTCCTGTTCCATCTCTGTCCCCAGTACCTATCATGGTGCTTGGTCATAGTTGAATGAATTAAAACAAAACATTTTTAAAAGAAGGACTGAATTGCTTTCTGGGCTATAAAAACTGACAGAGACCCCAACATCATCCCCACAATGTACCAAATGAAAAGTATGTGACTAAGTGACAGAAGCACAGGATAATGGGGACCATAGGAGCAGACACACAGGGCATGCCCAGCACTGTCCACAGGCAGGGAGCCCACCAGGTCTTAGGTGCAGGCCGGCCCCACAGTGCTGGCCAGTGCCCACCTATGCAGCGATACAATGGATGAACCCACAGAGCCTGGGAGACAGAAGGGGCAGCACTGGAGGCTTTCACATTGGACTGAGCACCAGCTTCTTTGATTCCACGCTCCCCAGACCATTCTGACCAGCCCAGACCCCTGAGGAGCCAAGGAGACTTGCACACCCACATCATGGTCAAGGACCACGAACAGCGGCCACAGCCCCGGGTACAGTGCTCAGGACTGATGACACAGAAGCCAACAGGCACAGCCCTCTGTGTCAGGAGCTGAAGTTCCAGTGATGAACACAGAAAATAGTGAAGCAGATAACTAACAGCTGATGTATCCGAACACAGTGATAACTGTCAAAAACAAAGCAGAGTGGATGGACGGGACCATGGAAACTGAGACCACAGTGAAGAACAGGGGCAAGGCAGGGAGTGCTCCTGGAGAGGGAATCAGCACCTGCTTTGCCCAGGGAGCTGTGAGGAGGCCAGAGGTCACTCAGTGGGCAGGGGAGGGGCTCTGTTACCAAGTTAGCAGTCCTGTCCCTTCAGGTCTGGGGCCCTGGCAGACATGTCTGCACCTGCAAAGCAGAGGCCAGGTCCTCGGCAGGGCCGAGGAGACACCCTCTGCCTCCGGATCAGGCCAGCCACTGGTCACAGCCTTAAGGATCCCATAATACTCATCTTCCTGAAACCACCTTCAGGATAGCAAATACAGAGCTGCACTCACAGTTACCTGATTTGCATGATTGTATTCAATGCATAGTGCCAGCTCACCTAGATAACCAGGCGGAACAACATGAACCTTGCCTCCTAAATCATACCACACACACAACTTTCTCCTGTACGGATTATAACCCTCACTGTGAATGGTAAATTACAAAAGCTTCTATCAGGAGACACTACAGAAGAATGCCAAAGCCTTAAGAGTAAAAAAGATTTCTTAAATAGCATAACACACACACACACCTAGGCAAATCATAAACAAAATGACTGATAATCTGAATATCATTAAAATTAAGAGCTTTTGTTCAATGGAAAATAATATCAAAAGAGTCAAAGGCAAACCATCCTGGAATCCCTCTCTTCCCTCCAAGAAAAGTTATGTATCTGTGATCTATAAAGAGCCACCGCAAGTCAATGCAGAAACCACACACCACCACCCTTAAGAATGGGATGATGAATTGAACAGATGCTTTCTTAAAGAAGAGCAAAAGGCCAATAAGCAAATGAAAAGCATCATGTCTTTGTGTACTAGGGCCATGCAGATCAAACCCTGGTGTGCTGCACTTCTTAATCACTAGGATGGCTGTGATCATTTAAAAGACCCTAAATAATACTTATTGTTGGTGAGGATATGGAGACATAAATTACTATGGGAAAAGTGGGCATGGTGGTGCATGCCTGTAATCCTAGCACCTGGGAGGCTGAGGCAGGAGGATCACCATGAGCCAGCCTGGGTTACATAGTGAATTCAAGCCCAACATGAACTAGATAGGGAGATCCTATCTCCAAAAAACAAAACAAAAGGAAACAAAACAAAATGCTCTGTGACTGTGGTGATGGTTACACAATTCTATGAATTTACTGAAAGCCACTGCATTATACTCTAATGAGGTTATCACATGTATGTGACTCACACCTCTGTATTTAAAGGTGGGGCAGATGTGCCTCTCCACCTGTTTGATGGCTCTGGTTCCACCCTGGATTATGATCTAGAAGCTACGGCCCAAGGGCGAGGCAAGGAAAACACACAAGCTCTTATGATGTGACTGGCACTACTGCTGTAGAGGGGGGATAATGTGGGAAAGGCAGACTGCTCAGGTCATGAGCTGGGAAGACCCTGCTTCAGCTCCGACATTTCCCTAGCACCCCTGCCCACCCCAACAGCCTGGCCACTCACCGGACTGGTTGGGGAGGGGACCACAAGTTTCAGCCCCACTCTGCCATCCTCCAGGGTCTTCTGCAGGCTGCTCCCTTGGCCGACAGCTCTCCCAGGACCAGCAGGCTGCTGGCCCGAAGTGCTTCCTTCAGGGCAGGCTTGGGCAGTGGCTGGCTGCTGCAGGTGTCGGGTGTCAGGCGCCTGGGGCAGCGGCTCCTGCTTGGGGTCATCTCCCGGGGTCCTAGAGGACGTGCAGGCAGGAAGGGACTCTGCAGGCATGTCTGAAAGCAGGTGTGTGCTGGTGGCCAGGTCATGGAGGAACACTGGGGCCTGGAGCGTGGGCATTTCCGACTCTTGGCTTGGTCTGTAGATTGGCACAGAGTTTACTTGGGCTTTGCTGAATTCCGACAACATCCTAGAAGTTTCCAAACAGAGAAACCTGTGTGACAGGTTAATGGCTAGAATGCCCAGGGCTACTGGGGCAGTGGTAAGAATAGGAAAATGCTGTTTGTGATTAAAAAGCCCAAAACATCCAACACTCCCCATCACCCTCCTGCCCTCCCTGCTCGCACACAGTCTGGCCAGGACTCAGGCACAGCGCTGGAGGGGACAGGTGAGCTGTGGGGCCCAGGCCTCTGCGAGAACACTCACATGGCAGATGCCAGTGGGAAACGACTGCCATCCTGCACAGGCTCACTGTGGGCCCAGAGAGCTTGCTCGGGTGAACAAAGGGCTGTGTGGGCAGTGGTTTCCCCAGAGTCATCTGCTGCAGAGTCCAGGAACAGATGGTGCCTCAGAGAGGGTCTTCAGCAGTACAGCACCTAGCCACCAACTGCTCCTGGCACAGGGACTGGGTGTTGTGAGGACATATATTGTCTATGTGACAGTCCAGGGGCAGTAGGGCTAGCGTGAGGTGCCAGGGCTCGTGCCCCTCGGAGCTGGACTAGGCATCGGGTCACTGCTCTCCCCCAGAAATGTGGGAGGGTGTGCACAAGTATACCCAGCTGTGTACCTGCTCATGCCTCTGGTGGCACTGCCATGCTTGTCCCCTCAGAGGCACCACCCAGGGCCCCAGCAAACCAACGTTAACTGCCTTTGTACACACAACACACCCTGCACAAAAATATCTCTGGGCCTTCTGGAATGTGCCCCGGCCAGCGATGCTCCTCCCTCTCCCCCTCCTGAGGCTCCTGGGAACCCAGGTTTCCTTTCTAAAATACACCCACTTGCTGCTTCCTCTTCTGCTTAGGAAACCAGCCGAGTAAGGCACAGACAAATGCACGTCCAGAAGGCAAAAACGCTACCCAGAGCCCAAAGACAGCGCACAACAGCTCCAATCGCTTCCACTGGGGCCGGAAGGTGCATTAAGCTCCCCTCATGTAGGCTGAGGGAAGGAGGATTTCAGAACACAAATTGTTTACCTGCTTGTTTCCTATTGAGCTCTGCTTCCACCTATACCATCCCAACCCCAAGCAACACTTACAGTCAATAGGTGATCAACCCTGCATATACGAGCAAGCGACTTTCCCCAGGGACATCAGACATTCAGTGGGGGAAGAACAGTCCGTCCCACAAACGGTGGAGGGATAAATGGGCAGCTTGTACCATAAACAAAGATTAACTTAACCATCTAAGACCCAGATGTAACAGGAAAAACTGTAAAACTCTTAGAAGAAAATTTAAGTATAAATTTCAGGTCTTTGGATTAGGCAATGTTTTTTTAAACAACACTTTTAAACCATAAGCAACCAGAACAACACTGATAAACTAGACTGTAACGAAAAGAAAAATGTTTGTGCTTCAAAGGATTCTATCTAGAAACTGAGGGACCACGGATGCAGTTTATCAGTTGTGCAAGGCCCTGGGTTTGATCTCCAGCACTGGGAAAAGTGAAAAACCACCCACAGCATGGGGGAAAATATTTGAAAGTCACATGTAGTAGTCTAATATCCACAATGTATAACGAAGTCTTAAAACTCAATAGTAGAAAAGTAACAAAATTTTAAAATGGGCAAAGGATTTGAAGTTGTCTCTGAAGAATATACACAAGTAGATAATAAGCACATGAAGAAAAAAAAGAAGGAAAAAGTATATGAAGAGATGCTCAAGGTCAGTGGCCATCGCGGGATGCAAACCAACCCGGATCTACCAGGACAGCTGCTATGGTCAAGAACGACGTTCTGCTATGTCAGAATGACAGGCGCTGGCAGAGATGTGGAGACTGTACTCTCCCAGGTAAGTGTGAGAGAGGAAGGTGCTGCAGCTGCTTTAGGAAAGTTTGGTAGTTCCTCAAAGGGTTAAACGTAGAGTTACAGGCTACCCAGCAATGCTACTCTACACATGTACCTAAGAGAATCAAAAATGCATCCACCTGAAAACTTAGACATAAATGTTGTGAGGAAGAGTACTCATAACAGCCAAAATATGAGGGAAAATGAACTATCAATTGATAAGTGGATAAACTGTGGTAGATTCGTACAATGGAATATTATTCCACTGTGACACGTTATAACATGAGTGATTCCTAAAAACATTACATTAGGTGATAGACACCAGCCACAAAAGGCCGTGTATTGTATGATTCCATTTCTATGGAAACCAACAGCTGATGCTAAGGGGTTTCCTTACAGTGTGATGGAAATATTCTTGAATTAAAAAAAATAAAAAAGAAAGTATTCTTGAACTAGATGGTAGTGATGTTGCATAATCTTGTGAATATACTAAGTACCAATTTATTAACACTTTAAAATGGTGAATTTTTTGCAAGGCATGGCGGTGCACACCTGTGACCCCAGCATTTGGGAGGCTGAGGCACGAGGATCGCCATGAGATTGAGGCCAGCCTAGACTACAAAGCAACACTTTGTTACAAACCAACCAACCAACCAACTCACCTACTCCAAACCAAAATAAAAAACAAAAACCAAAAAACAAAAAGGTGAATTTTTTTTGGTTATTTTTTTTTTTGAGACAGGGTCTTGCTATGTAGCCCAGGCTAGCAATCCTCCTGCCTCAGCCTCTTGAGTGTTGGGATCACACCCTGTGCCACTTGGTGGCCTGTGCTTCCACACTGAGCAGGATCTCAGCTCACTATGTAGTCGAGGCTGGTCTCAAATTTGCAGTACTCCTCTTGTCTCAGCCTCCCAAGTGCTGGGAGCATCTGGCACAAACGGTGAATTCAATGGTGTATCAATTCTCTGTTGATGTAAGTGACCAATCAGAGAAAGGTAGAAAGGTATAGTTATAGGGAGGCAGGCAGGTGCTGGTATTTGCTCTAAGGTCTCACTCTAAAAACAGATGAACAAAAATCTCAGTGTGCAACTTGCAGGGATGGGAAATGCCAAGTCCTGGAAACAAAGGCTTCGCTTACACAGGTGGAGAGGAGAGCGTCTGCCAACCGCTGTGCACATCCGAACTTCAGGGGACAGAGTGGGGCCACCTGGACAAGCCAGGCAGGCAGCCTGCAACACAGGACCTCCGGAGTCTAGCGCCTTGTGGGCATGGGGAAAGGGGTGGTGAGTGAGCAGGGTGGGCCTCACTTCCACCTGGCCACACCTCATACACTGCTGTGTGCCCCACCCAGGCTTCACAGTTTACGGCTTCTCCTATCTGTACAGCAGGACTGGTAGCAGCACTGCCTTTTCTGATTGTGACGAAGACCACACAAGATATCTAGGCAGAATGCTCAGGGGTGTCTGAGACACAGTCCCCAGTAGACCTTCACCTCGACATTATGCTGGCTACTTTTACCACTGATTAGACGTCACATATAAATATAAAAATATAAAGAAAAAGCCACAGTGTGAAAATAGTCAATAGCATTACAGAAACGAGACTCTTACATAAATTACAAATGAATCTTAATCTACAAGACTTTTTTTGGCAGTACTGGGGACTGAATCCAAAGGTGTTCTACCACTGGCTTACATGTCCAACCCTTATTTTTAATTTTTAGACAGGGTCTTGCTAAGTTGCTCAAGCTGGTTTTGAACTTGTGAACCTCCTGCCTCAGCCTTCTGCTGGGATTGCAGATGTGTAATCCAACCATGCCTGGCTTGCAGACCTTGGTTTTGTATCTGCAACAATAAGCACAGAGTATGCAGTTTAAAGTTACAAATATTTAAGTAGTCTAATAATAGTAAAAATAATAATGTGAACTTTAAGTGGTGATGAGAATCTCTGCACTTAAAGTATACACTGCAAGAAATGCTAACCTCTGTGGCTACTCAAAGACTAACTTCAAGGCCCCTCTCCCAGAGACAATGCTGGACATGTGTTTGTGTATATGGTGTTTGATGTCTGCGAGTTGTTCACACTGTCCAGAGCTCATCAACTTGCACATATCCCAACCCTCATCTCTCCAGCTCCCCATAAAACTCCGGGCAATGCTTTTCATGCAGGGTGGAGGATTACTGACTCAGTGACCTTATGCTGGACTTTTCCAGTCACAAGGCTCATGAAGATAAAGGTGCACATGACAAACAGAAGCCGGCAGTCTGTGGAGGAGATGGAGATGCACAAGGGCTGGGAAGGACAGCAAGCCCAGTCACACCATGGGCCCAGCAGGCACACCATCTCCATTCCTCTACCCAACTTCTGAAGATGCTGTTTCCCAGGCCCAAGGTTCAGAGCCACCTCTGGAGCTAGCAGACACTCCTCGGTGTGTGCTGACAAGGCATCTGATTTGCTTCTCAGTCAGCCTGATGAGGCATCTCTCTTTTAGAGAGGAAGGGACTGAGCTTTGGCAATCTGCCTGACATTGCTGAGCCAGTGGTGCAACAGGCCTGGAGGGCAGGTCTGCTCCAAGCTCCATGCACACAGCACCTAATCCAGTGCTGGTCCCACTCTGGGCGACAACTCTGGAGAGACTGGAACCCAGGCAGCGCGAAGGCGCAACACAAATGGAAAAAGACATCCGCAGAGGGATCAGGAGCTCAAGTGAGGGAGGCTGCAACAAAGCTCACTACTTTTTACCTGTGAGATGAGCAAACAGACAAAGTTTGATAAAGCTTCCCACTGGCAAGGCTAAGCAAGCATGGATACATTCCTCCGCAGTATAAGCAGGCCGTGTCTGAAAGTACAAATTCATCTGTCCTATGGCTCAGTGATTTTGCTTCTGGGAGTTTACTGAACTGAGATACTTACATAAAATTAAAAGGCCAGATTAAAAGGTTATTTATGGAAACACTGAAGACCAATGCCCACTAAATATGTCTGATTAAATAAACTAAGACACATTTCCTATAACAGACATATATAACCAGAAAAATGAAGATGCTCTGATGTGAAAAGATGTGCCCCAAAACGAAGTCCAGACAATGCACACAAACTATGTTTTATGAAAGGCGAGGGAAAGAAACGAGGAAGAAAGTGTACAAATGTACACGTGTATTGGTATCTGTTACAGATGTACTTAGAGACTCTGGAAGAAAATACAAGAAATTAATAATTATGGTCACAAGGAGGGGAAGGAAGAACAGGGAAGCCGGGGTGCTGACTTGTTCAGGGTCACCTGGGGCACAGCGGAGGTGTACTAGGCCTAAGCCCTTCTACATCCACCCTGCTGTGCATGTTCCTGTCACAGCCCCCCAGAAACTCCAGGTCCTGGACTGCACATGTCTGCTTTGATTCTATACTCAATGGAGTTCAGTGACAATCACATGCATAGGAAGGAGGGAAGAAAAGAGGAAAAGTAGATGTGAAAGGGAGGGCAGGCGGGCTAGAGAGGGGCACTCACTCTTGCAGGGACTGGTCAGAATCATCAGCATTTGCTGTTCCCAGATCAGAGTCGTAGGACATGGGCTCCTCGGAGCGGTCTGGGCTCTTGCAGCCATTCTCTTGGAGCAGGCAGCTATCAGAGTTCAGGCTGCATGACAGCTGCGAGGAACTGGCTGTGTCCAGGCTGAGTGAGGAGGCTGTGAGCTTCCTGTTCCGCCGGATCTTATGGCCCGAGTGCTGGACTTCGATGTCTTCTGAGCCTGAGGAGTGGGAAATGGAATCCAGAGACTCTTTACGCTGGAGTTCTGCACTACAGGTAGGGAGAGGGTCAAGCTCCGAGAGTGGGTAAAGCCCCGAGAGGGCCAGTGGGGTAAGGGTCCACTCGTTTAGGATAGCAGACTTGTAGGAAAGCTCGAAGGACAAGGACGTGAGTCCCTGCAGGAAGCTCAGAAGGAACTCGCCCTCCTCGGCATCGCGCAGCAGCGCTGTGGGCTGGTAATACTCGCACAGCCTCGCCTGCTCCTGGAGGAGCAGCTTCAGGTAGCACTCCATCAGGCCATCGTTGAGGGCCAGCCGCAGCCAGGCCCGGCAGCGGCCCACGTCGGTGTTGACAAAGGCCAGGTGCTCTAGGTCCGAGATGATGTGTCTGGAAGGGTAGAGCAGACTTGCTTCAGACACTGCTTCAGATCACTGAGAAACTGTTTTACTTACTAGTTAGCAAGAACCATTGGTAACAATGGCAAACGTATGTAGGCATGAAGAATTCTTTCATAATGGTGTTTCAAGGGAAGTAAAGAAATGTTAAGCTATAATCTCCAACCTTTTGAGGTCAGTGTCATTAAGAATAATTTTTATGTTCACTACAACCGCCTACTATCACTGCTGTCATCTGCTGACCAAGATATGTGTGCTGAATCCCCAAGATTCAGCTGGGAAGCTACAGATAGAGCATGATCCCTTTGCTGGATCTAGGCAGGGACCCTTCTTCTCTGTGTATCACTGGACCTTGAGCATGCTAAGCAAGTGATCTACCACTGAGCCATACTCCCAAGCCTATCTTACTGCTACTCATGGGCCCACGGAGTCAGTTCTTTTGTTGGTGGAGATGATGTAGGAGGTTGGGCCATCACTTCTGGACTGGAGTACGGAAAATGCCACAGAAAGCATAATATCTGAGCTGGGCCCTGAGGGCTTTCAAGAAGCAAAAATGAGCCAGGTATGGTGGTGTACACCTGCAATCCCAGCACCGTGGGAGGATGAGGCAGGAGGATTGCCAAGTCTGAACTTGGCTTGGATGACTTAGTAAGACCTTATCTCAAAATAAAAAATGGGGTGACAGGGTTGGGGAAATGGGGGGAAAATGGGCTGAGGAGTCAGGCATGGTGGTGCATGCCTATAATCTCAGCACCTGGGAGGCTGAGGCAGAAGGATTGCTGTGAGTTTGAGGCCAGCCTGGGGATACAGTTTACTGTAAAAGCCCCAGGTTCAATCCCTGGGTACGGGGGTGTGGTGTGGTGTGATTTCTAGGCACAGTAGACTAACAGAAAAAGGGCATAAAGGGTAGGAAAGCCTGTAACAGGAGTGGGGAGCACTCTAATCACAAGTAGAGGGAAAGGGCTGGTTCAGATGCAAAGCCAAGCAATGGAGGGTCTTAAGTATGAGACTGCGTGCTCCATGTAGGTAAAGGTCTCCTATCCGGCGGTGCAGCAAAAGCCTCTGGGGACTTCATCAGTATACAGACCTAGGGGCTACGATTTGCTGACTTGGACTCCAAGGAGGCATGTTGCAGGTAAAGATTTCTGCACAGGAAAGCAACCTGATCACAGCCAAGTACACAGTAGGACAGATGCTCTGCATAAGCTCCAGACCCAGACCTGGAATCCCTCTGGCTGATGTGAATAACAGTCTGCCCACGGGGCCTGTGCATGGGTCCTGGGGTGGTGCAGTCTACTTTCTGCGGGAGCTGCTAAAGCTCAGTGAATGTTGAGTGGCTAACTGACCCAAGGAAGACAGTGAGGTAAGGGGACAATTAAAAAGCCATTGTTGCCCAGGAGAAAAGCAAGGACCTGAGATAGGGCAATGGCAATGGGTACGGAAGGAGAGATCAGAGACTGACAAGGCACCTTGGGGCTGAAGGTGGCATTTAACAGCCCTTCGGGTACAATGCCAGCTGCTTTTCAAAAGCCTAGGTAGCTAGGGGCAAGGTCAAAGACCAGGGTCTCAGTGGACACTCAGAGGGTCTACCTGGAATCCACTCTGGTTAAAAACGAAATACCTTGCCTCATTATAACATTGAGAAAACAAATGTTCAAACAGTCAAAGGCAGGGTCAGCAGACACCTCCTGTAAAGGGCCAGAGAGTAAATATCTCAGGCTTTGCAGTCCACACAGAATCTACCTCACTCTGCCAAGCTGGTCCAAAGCTCACTGGCCCTGGGCTGTGGAGCAGCCTGAGAGCTGAGGGTCCTGGGTCAAGTGGCTGTTTGGAAAGTGTGGTCTGGAGACAGCCCTTTCTATAAGACACTCCAGCTCTACCTCACCCTGTCTCTGTACTAGAACCAGCTATCTGTTGGTCTTCTACACAGCTAGAAAGAGCAAGCCAAGGGCCCCACACTCAGAAGGTCCTCCCCCAACAAAACCCCTCCGCTGATCTCACTTGTGGGTGACAGCTTTCAGGAGGGACCAGAAGACAGGCTGAGGCAGAGACTTCTGGTGTGCACTTTTCTTCCATTTTCCTCCAGACTCTGCACGGATGTGCTTGGCATGCAGGCCATGGATGAACACAGCCTCCAGGGCACTGCACATGGTGTTGGCATCTCCATCTTCGCTTGTGACTGCTGCGTCCAGGGACACATACTGCTTCTGCAGCGCCTTCACAGACCCTACCAGCTTCTTCTTGATGACCTAGGCAGTGCCAAGCAGAAGAGAGGCCTTCAGAAGAGAATCCTACAAATAGCCCTGGAAAGTAGCCCCGGTCTATCACCAAATAACTGTGTGACCACATACGCACCCCTCTACAGAGATTTTGGCTGCAAAAATCAGCATGTGTTAATTACACCAAAGACACTGCATAGAGAAGGAAAGGAGTCACACACAGTACCCAGAGATAACTAATAGTATTGTCATTCTGCATATCCTTCACTTTTGTTTTCCAAACAGAACTTAGGTAAACTTATAGCCATATACCTTCGTGTTTCAGTAATGGCTCCACTCCAAAGCAAGGGTTAGAGAGCTTCAGTTAGGATGGGAGTAAGACTTTACACGACCAAGAGTCTGCACAAAATCAAAAACCTAAGAGATAAAAAGTACTGCTTTGAAAAAAGTACAAATATCACAGAAGGGCTCGGGTACGTGTAGCTCAGTGCTAGAACATGAGCACTGGCCCTGGTTGATCCCCGGCACTGTTGAAAAAAAAAAATCAAGAGAAAAGGAGCATGGCTACTATGAGAGATCCTCCCTAGGGGCTGGACATGGTGGTACATGCCTGTAATTCTAGCACTCTAGGAGGCTGAGGCAAAGAGAATCATACGTTTCAGCATAGCCTGGGCAACCTGTCTCAAAATAAAAAATAAAAAAATGGGTGGAGATGTAGCTCAGGGAGAACACCCTGGCTCCAGTCTTTAGTACTGAGCACGTGAGACTGATCCATCCATCCTGTGAGCCAGTGGCCTAGGTTCAGTCTCAGCCCAGTCACCTCAGAAATTTCACTTAATTTTTCTGAGTCTCCATTCTTGCATCTGCTAAATGGAAATAACATTTCCTGAACTATAGCACTTGGGGCGTTATTTCTGAAGGCAGGATATACCTCCCCACCCCCATGCAGGACTGAACCCAGGAGGTGCTGAGTATAGTCCTAGTCCTTGTAATTTTATTTTTGAGACAAGGTCTGGCTAACTAGAAAGGCTGACCTGTAATCTGTGATTCTTTTCTCAGCCATCCAAGTAGATGGGATTATAGGCTTGCGCCATGGTGTCTAACTCAGACTAGTTTTTTAAATTTATCCATGTATCCTCAAACAACTTTCATATTAGGCACTTGGAAGTACTCAAATTGTAAACTCTGGTTAAATAAACACATTACAAAATGTGTACAAAGTCCTTTGGGATTAAAGAGTAAAATTATTCAAGTATAATTATGTCAAAATTACGTGTTTGGGAAAGGACTAGAAAGGAATGTACAAAAACTAGTTTGAACTGAATGACAGGGTTATGGGTAAATAGTTCACTCTTTTATATGGGCTTATCCCAAACAAGGAAGGTAATGTTTTTCGTTTTTTGTTGAACCCAGGCTGGGCTCCAACTCACAATCCTCCTGCTTCAGGCTCCCAAGTGCTGTGATTATGACATATGCCATCACACTTGGTTTTAGAAAGTTAAATTTTTAAAATTAACTTTAAAAAAATCAATGAGATATAATCCACACACTACAAATGCACCCATTTAAAGTACTGAATTCAGTGGTTTTCAGCAAATCAGAGAACTGTGCAACATTCATCACTAATTTTAGGCCATTTTCATTTCCCCTCGAAAGAAACACAGTTGCCAGGGGCTGGAGGAGAAAGAAACCGGGAGTGGCGGCAGTCAGTCATCTATTTTTGCCTCTGGAGTTGCCAGTCCTGGACAATTGCACAAATGGGATCATCTAAATCAGAGCCAGGGGAGGCGGGAGGAGGGCGCCACAGGGAGGAAAAGGCTTTTTGCATAAAAACCAGCTGGGCTGCAGGTGGAACCGCGCCCTCTGGTGGCCAAAAGGGGAAGGCACACCTCTGAGGAAGCTGAATTAACCGGGCATAGATGGAGGCAAGAGAAATCTTGGCTTCTCAAGGGGCCACCTCAGGACTCTGCTGAGGGACAGCCCTAAATGTACCTAGCCTTTAAGGAACTGACAGCCAGTCCAGAATGCACCAGACAGCCCAGGGCCCAACAGGCCAGAGGGGACTCAGGTGAACTAGTCACCAACAACTGTTTTTGAAAACCCTGGAAAATGGTCAATGTTCAAAGACAGGTGCAAGCGACCAATGTACCCCATTACTGAATCAACAATCCAGCATGCAGGAATATCTGTTCTGACCAAATCAATGCTCTGAGCAAACTGTGACCTAAAGGCAGAGAGCTGGAGGTCTGAATAGAAATCCTCGGTCTCCAGGAAGCATACCCTAAGCCTTCAGTGTTTTAAACTGCAATTTTACACCAAACAAGCCCATCTGGAGAGGGCAGGATTTCCTCCAGCTTGCTTTCCCTCCTTCTCTCCTGAGGCCTCTTTCTGGGCAGTGGGAGGCCTGTGCCTGGCTGCCCTCTGCGGCCCTACCCCACCCAACCTGCCCACCTACCGGGATGGTGGCCCGGGGGTCCAGTCCATTTTCAATCACTGAGAGCATTTCTGCTCAGGAGCAGCTCCGCCGAGACTCACATGACACCTGCAGGGGCAGATGGTGGCCAGATGAGCATGCTCCCGACTGGAGGCAGCCACAGTCCTTCCTAGCGGTCAGCCGGCTCCCTCAGACTGCAACTGAGAGGCTTCTGAGTGACACGAAAGTAAAACCCGAGAGAGGATTTTAAGGAAGGAAGCACGGAAAGAAAAACCAGAAGCTTAATCCTGGGGAAGTGAGGAGCCCTGTGTGCAGGGCTGGAGGTTCAGGGCTCTTCGCACACACTGCACAGAGTGCCCTGGTCCGTGGGCTGGGGTCCCAGAGGGGAGGTATAGGGGGAACCCTCATGGGAGGGACCAGCAGGCAGGAGCACAGTCACGTTCAAGGCCCCCAACCTGCACTGGCCTGACTCGTGTCCCAGTTCAGGAATGGCCGGCCCTGCTGTGGAAACCCAAATGGAGCAGCCTCACAAGAAACTTCTGCTTCTCCTTTGGACTATGAGCGTTTCACGTGAGCAACACAGGGAGGAGTCCAAGTGGGCCAACACCAGTTCTGATCACAATTTGCCACTAATCAGCCAGGCGTGCACAGTGTGGTATCTGACATCTCAGGTGCAGAGTATGAACACGGGAAAAGCACACGGCCTCTTGCCCTGCTGGAAATGGCACTGGTCATCCCAGTGCAGTGGTTGTGAACCTGTGGCACGCATGCTGCAGTATGCTGTTTATTACCACTGAAAGCTCTAAAAGGTTCACCATCACTGTTGCAGTGGATGTGGCCATATACAAGCAAGTCTCACTATGTAGCCCAGGCTGGCCTTGAACTTGCAGTGACCCTCCAGCCTCAGCTTCCCAAGTATTGGGATTACCGGCCCCTCCCACCATGTCAGTCTAACGCTAAACCCCTCAGGGCAGCTGGCTTCAGGTCTCAGCCTGAACCTGAGGGGAACCGGCAGGCCTGGCCCCACCCCAGCAACTAGGGCTGGGCAGGCACATTCACCACTGTGCAAACCTCTAGTGTGAGAATTAAAAAACAAAAACAAAAAACCACCAGGTGTGGTGGCGCAGCCTGTAATGCTAGCCCTCTGGGAGACCTGAGAAGGACCCTCAAGTTGGAGCTCAGCCTGGGTGACTTAGCAAGATCCTGTCTCAAAATAAAAAATGAAAAGGGCTGGTGGTGTAGCTCAGTGAGAAGGCCCTGGGTTCTACCCCAATAGCAAGGTGTGGGGGAGGGAAACTTAAAGCTGTGTCTGCTCAGAACTACCGCCCCGGCAAGTTAACAAAAACCAAGGCATGTGACATAGATTGCTTCACTTATACTCTGCCTAATCACCCCAGGAAAGCCATTTTATTATCTCTACCTGACAGATAGGGATACAGATATCATGGCTGATAGTGTCCTGTCTCCACCACCTCCCAGACTCCTGAGCAAGTGCCATCCTCAGAGCTAGGACTTCAGTGGGGGACCAGGAGGTGGGTGGGGACAGAGGCCAGTCTGCAGGCAAGGCTTGCAAGAGAGCGGGGAGCAGGTTTTTGAAGGAGGGAAGCAGGGAAGCCCTCAGTGGAGCTGCTGGTCCAATCTGGCCTGCAACTTGTCTAGAGGAACAGGGCCCAGAGAGTCAGGCCCTGCAGAGGGATGGAGGGAGGTGTGTGTCACGAGTGGAGCCCTCGGCCCTGGCTGTGGCCCTTGGCTGACTGCCTCAGCTTTCCTCACGCTGTGCCCCCCCAGTCAGGGGTTCTCAGGGCCTCTGGAGACCAGCCTAGCACTCTAGGTTTCAGGATGACAGGAAAAGCGATGTGCTGTGGTCAAACACAGTCTGGCAGTGAGCCTGGTCCTGGAGGCTGGGCTGCTGCAGCGTAACCCTTGTGCAGGCTTGTCAGCAAAATTTTGCTTCTCTGGCTCCAAGGCCCAGGGGTCCAGCCCCAGTCCACAATTCTCAGGGCCTAAACCTCTCCCTTGGGCCCTTGCCAAACAGCTACAAGGTCAGGACCTAGAGCTTAGATCTCAACTACCTAAATAATAGCGTGGGTACCTTAAGGCCCCATTAATTAGCTGGGAGTAACAAGAGTATTCATTAGGAAGGGCTACTAGGGAGTAGGTGCTCTGGCAAAGTAACAGTCCACTAAGAACCCAAAGTAAACTGAAGCTAGGAGAGGTCAGAGCAGGCTGACGAGAGGCAAGTACTACTGAGAACTAAGTGCCAGGAAAGCCACGGAGTGACTGACGTGCAGGACCCACAGTAGCCCTCTGACAATTCACGGAGCAGGACAAAGGCTCTGGGGTCCAACCACAATTCAGGACACACTGACCTTTCCTTGTAGGAAGCCAAAGCACCCTACATGTCTGTGTGCTTCAGGGCTCAGAAGAACGGCCATCAGTGACAGTGGGTCAGACCCCAAGTCCACCATCCTACGGGACTGGTGTTACTTCCTGTCCTCAGAGTACTCTTCAGTGACACCAGAAACTCATGGACCCAACACTGAAGGGAACAAGGAGAGAACTCGGGCCACTCTCTCTGCGGGCTCTGCAGCACTGAGGGGCAAGTCTGGCAGGGAAGGGTCCGCCACATACGCCTACCTCACTCTCCGCATTGATTCCCCCTTCCCAGCTCTGCAGGTGAACAAACAACTTTCTCTGATCTCACTCTTCAACCTCACTTACGCCTCAGAATGCTCCTGTGAGAGACTGTCGTCCCTCCTTTAGAGGGGAAACTGAGACTCCATAGGAACAGTACTCAGGTAAGGACAGAATTCTTGGGACTCCTCACTGCTGTCACCACATAAAACCATCGCAGGTCTTCGGCTGGAAAAATTCCCAGCACACTATTGTCCACAGACTCTTCAGAACCCTTCAGAAGCTCCATTTAATTGCAGGGAGACACAGTCTTGCTGGTCAGATTTCTAGTCCCACCCAGCCAAGCCCAGGTCCTTCCCTCGGTCCCATGTTTCAGTCTCCCTCTCTTAAATGTTCTCACACATGGGAAGGGACTGTCCCAGCGGCCCTTCTTCATTCTACTGTTTGTCCTTCTGTGTACATAATCTCCAATTTCACCTCCTCCGGAGACCCAGGAAGAAAGCACGGAATGGCTTAGAGATGACCCACACAGCACAAAAAGATGGACAACCTGGTTTCCCCATTCTCAGAACACTCAGTCCAACAGCATACAGCACCTGCTTCTCTTCAGAGACTTCTCAGCCACTTCCCACAGCCTTCCCTCTGCTGCCTGAAGCAGTACCTGGCCATCAGGGACAACTGCCTGGCAGTGATGCCCTCTAGCTGCTGTCCCAATTGATGAGTCATGCCACTTCAGCTGGAAAGGAATGATGACGATGTCATCTTCTGAGTCGGAAAGGCAGCTGATCTGCCAGACATGAGTGCTGCATGAGTAAACAGCACCCCCTTCCATCTGAAGAAGGCTGGATTCTGGACAGGGGTCCTGGAAGGGGTAGGATGCAGGACAGGGGACGAGCTTCAAATCAAACGTGAAGGGTGAGAACTTCCAGTGTGTGATTCCCAGAGCAGGGACTAGTGGATAAGGGCAGAACTGTGAGATCCTGAATGGCAGGTATCTTTCTTTCCTCTATCCTTTCATCTGGTAACACCCATCACCCTAGTTCCTGTCCCAGCTGCTGCAGAATTCTAACAAGGAATGAACTCAGAGAATGAAAACAGGAACTTCAGTTAACTTAACACTGCATTTCTAGTACAGTAAGTCTACAACTTACACACATTCAGGTTGCGAATTTTCACAGGTGTACTGTATAAGACTCACTTTATCGTATTATGAACAAATTCAACTTATGAACATTTCCCGTAAGTCAGGGACCTACAGTATCTACAGTGGTGCTTGGCACACAGTGGTGCTCAAAAAACGGTCATTGATTGACTTGATGAGTAGAATAAAAATAAAGCCTAGGGTAGATACGCCCATTTCACAGACTGGAAGTTGAGGTATACCACTCTGATGCAGTGAGGCTTCCGTGGAACTCCTGCCATTAAACCAAGCAGCCAATAGGGCTGAAATCCATCAGACAGTTGCACCGTAGCAGGAAGACACTGAAGGTAGAACCGCATTCACCTCTCAAAGCCAGAGACTGAAGTGGCAAAGACAAGGGTCCCCTGTGTTCTTTAAAACTGCCCTTGTGGGTGGGGAAATATCTACGAGAAATATCTCCGAGGCTTCATGTGTCCATGGAACCCAAAGGGCTAAAATTCAATGACCCACTACCTACAAAAAGAGCAGAAAATTCAACAGCATCTGTCCCCTGTGCTTCACAGTATGTAGCAGACCTCTGACACCCATTGTGTCCCCTGTGTTAAGTACTGAGACCAACCTGCAGTCAGCTCTGGCAGAGGAGCCCTGGGAGAGGATTCTTCACAAGTGCCAGGACAAAGATACACGACACAGGCACATGGTTCTGTGATCACTGCCAACCCCACACAGTGACAACTCCCTGAGGTTCTCCACAGCCAGAACACCAGCCAAAAGGAAGTGAGCCGGATGAGTGGCCTCCTCTCACCTTCTAAGTATCTGAATGACATCTACCATTCCAAAAGCCTGCACAAGCAATTTAAAATGAATGGGAACAACAACGACAATCTCTAGGTCCAGGTCCAGGGAACCAGCTACCAGAGAAACCTCTGACCCAAGCCTGGGGGTTGGGATCTTCACTCCTCCATGCTCCTCAACCCCCTGAGGGCCTGCAGATCCCAACCACCGGCTCTGCTCTACCTGCCCCGCTTTGAGCCAGGGGCTGGGCCCGCTCGGTGCTACCTGTGTTTTCAGGCTGAGTGGGAGCTGAAGCAAAGGAAGAATGGGCACAGAGATGGGGTGAAAAGTTGGCATGGGGACAACAGAGGTAAAAAAACCCGGAGTAATAAGCGTTGCAGAAGGTAAGAAGAACAGAGGCGGCAAGAGTTGAGGACAGGTTATTAAAAACCCAGGACCAGGGTGTTTTCAAGATGATAGGAGAGGATAAAGAAGTACAAGGTGAGCTAGAAAGTTGGTGGCCGAGGCTGTGAGGACAAGAGGCCCGTAAGACTGGAGTAAGCCGCAGATCAGAGGTATCAAGAGGGGCGCTCAGCAGGGTACCCACCTTGGTGGTAGGTCTTCCAGGAGGGCAGGGTTAGGGTGCTCTGGGATCAGGAGACACTGGGGAGCTGAGCAGGTGTGGGAGCTGGAAAGGGGGCAGCCCTGGGGACGCTCTGCGCTGAGCACTGGGCTTGCCTAAAGGGCTGAAAGGTGAGGATGAGGTAAGGCGAGCTGAAGAGATGTGGCCTCGGCCGAGGCTGCAACGAGGCCGCAACGAGGCCGAACAGGTACAAGGTGCGTGCGCGTCGGGGCCGAAGGCGAAGACGGAGGGGGCCGGGGCGCCGGCTGGGAAGGCTGGGGGCTCCCGAGCCAGGCTGTCTCCAGGCAACCCGGGGTCTGGGATCCCAGGGAGCGCTGGAGGCCACCATCCGATCACGCCGAGACCCCGCCGCCCTGCTCTCCCCCACTGCCTCCGCGGGCGCTAACTCACCACAGGGAGCGGGAGCGGGAGCCGCACAGGTCCCTCCGCCCGCAGCAGCCTCCTAGCCCCGGAGCAGACGCGGCCCTCCAGCCACTGACAACAGGAAGCGGCTCCGCGACGCTGACGCCGTCACGTGGGCTCGGCGTCCGGGTCCGCCCCAGACCGCGAGCCAATCGCGGGGCCCGGAGGAGCCGCGGGGCGGGGCAAGCGCGTCCCGGAAGTCGGGCTCCAGCCCAGGGGGGGCGCGCAGAGGCGGCGTGTGCCACCCCTGGCGGTGCGTGTCTGTACCGCCTGCCTCCCGCAGGTCGGTGTGCGGCGGGTCTGGACGTCTAGGTCCCCCATCTCACTCGGCCTCGGCAGCAGCCGTGCGACTCTGGGGCCGGCCCCTCGCCTCCCCCAGCCGCCTTTGGGCCCTTTAAGAGCGGCTCCGCTAACGCCCGACCCGCCTTTGCCTCTGCGGACATCAGTGCGGCCCAGTGGGCCGAGCGTGGCCCAAGGTGGAGCCGCTGGCTTTCGGAGCCAGCAGACACTCCCGTTTTCACCGTGCCACATGCCTTGTGATGCCCTGGAGGGGCCCTTGGGCACTTTCCCGCTTCGAACTCACAGCCCTTCCAGGCACGAAGCCAGACTCCCGCTTTTCCCCTTCTAGCAACACAGTCGTTCCTTTGCGTTTGTAGCAAATGTCAGAAGCAGCCCACGGAGCCGGTGAAGGGCCGGGAGCAGGTGTCAGTAGCGACCCTGCGTTAGGCGCTGTAAACTTGCCTGTGGTCCCTTGGCCGCCGCCGCAGGGATATCAGGAAGATATCCCTGATGTCTCTGCAGTGCTTAGGGCACCGTACCCGTCTTCACTGTAGAACCTCCTGTTGGGGATGTGACCCAGTAACACGGGTTGGAGGCTATTTTTGTTAAAAACACTGCTCTTCACCAGGGCCTTCAAATGTCCAATGGGTAACTAAAAGCAAGGTTTAAAGCTTCGCATCATTGCCTCTGTTTTGTATGTTTCTGGGAGTCATTCTCTTTGGCAGTCACCTTGTATTCTGGGAGCAACAAGTCTGATCCGTAGACGACTTGTGATGAATCTGAAACTACGCCTCTGGCAGGCCTGGCCAACCCCAAGGTCGAGGGCTTCCCGTCACCTTTTGACCAAGACTTGCTTAACTGTGCACGTTGCTCGTTCCCTTGTCTATATAACCTGGGAACTCTTGTCAGTAAAACATGACCTGAAAACTGGTTCTCTTGTAGCCTGATGTAGCTACACCCTGGGGACTGGTGAACGCCCCTTTCCAGCCTTTCGCCATTATTTCTTTGTTTGATGGCACTGGACAGAGTGGCAGTTGGGATGCCCAGGTTGGGTCTTTGGCCTAGAGTTCTGGTAGCAGCTTCTTCCTCCCCATTAGGGGGCTGCTCATTCAGTAATTCTCCAGGAGTGAGAACCGCCTCTCCCCAGGTTTTAGGCAAGATGGAGCAGTGCGTTAGAATTTTATCTGCTGAATTCGTTGGGTAGTAACAAAACCGTACTCTTGGTGTGAAACTCTTGTATTTGTTTGTTTGTTTTTGTTTTTTTTTGAGACAGGGTCTTGATGTAGTTCAGTAAGCTGCTTATCGAGCAAGAAGATTGCACTGAGCTGCGGACAAAGCAGTACAGTTAGAAACAAAGGAGATGAGGAAGTCACTCCCTTCATTTCATTTTAAACAGCACCCTAGGGCCATTCTTTCTTCCATGTGAAAATCACATAACAAAATAGCTAAGAGCACAAGCGCTGTTGAACCTCCTAGCCTGACCTTCAATCATGTTCACTCCACTCCAACATTCTTAAGTGTTTGTGAATATGTACTACATCTCATGCATGTAATTAAGATCAGAGTAGCCGGGCGTGGTGGCACACGCCTGTAATCCCAGCACTCGGGAGGCTGAGGCAGGAGGATCATTGCGAGTTCGAGACCAGCCTGGGCTACAAAGTGAGCTCAAGGGCAGCCTGAATTGCATAGTGAGACCCTGTCTCAAAAAGACAAAAAACCCCAAAACAAACAAACAAAAAAAGGTCAGAGTAGATTCTGGGACAGGCACAAGTGTTGAGACCCCCTGAGATGACACTGCGCCCTGTCAATCACTCTTATCAGTCACACCTAGAAATACAGGGGGCATCTGGGTGGAGGTAAACACCCTTTAAATTCGAAAGCCTGATTTAACTGTGTACTGGGTGGAGTGCATTTGCTTTCTTGTCACCCTGGCTCCACATTTTTGTTAGCTTGGACCTGAGTGCAACTCCCTGTGATTGTCAATAAATGCAGCTGCCTTTCAGTTGCCTTCTGTGGTGCACTTGTAGTTAATGGCTCACCAGACTCAAGAGCCTGAATTTTATCTGCTGAATTCATTGGGTAGTAACAAAACCGTACTCTTGGTGTGAAACTCATTTTATGTATTTGTTTGTTTGTTTTTGTGTTTTTTGAGACAGGGTCTTGATGTAGCTCAGGCTAGCCTCGAACTTGCAGAGATCCTCCTGCCTCAGCCTCCCAAGTGCTGGGATTACAGGCGTGCACCACCACTGTCAGCATAACTCATTTTAAACAAGGTGGACATTTAGGGATTTTCTAGGGAAATCTAACTACATTGGCAAAAAGACAGCATTTCCCGGCCCAAATGGTGCAATCAGAGAATCAGCAACTTGGCCCAACTATGCCCTGTCCCCAAGTCAAGCACTTAATGTCTCTCAGTTATTCCACCGAAGTTTTCCATTGCCACCACGTGCTGGACTGGTAGGGCAACCCCTTGAAATAATGTCTAGGGGCTGGGGATTTAGCTCAGCGGCAAAGCGCCTGCCTGGCAAGCTCAAGGTCGTGAGTTCCGTTCCCGGTACCGGAGAAAAACCAAAAA